ATGCGTGATAAAGATTCAGTCGAAGAATGTACAAATCTGTGATGGTATATTTATCATAGCTATAATATGAAATCGAACTGTCAAACCGCACAAAGATATCAGATTCAGATATATATTTATATTTAACATAGATACCTTCCAATAATTCGGCACGTTTAAGAACTCAGGCTCTATACGTATAGTTATATATGTGGTTGGAAACATTCTACAATACTGCTATTCGGCTCTAAAACATATATATTTATTTTGGACGAACAATATATCTTTAATGAATTTACGCGGCTAAGTGGGGATAAAATTTCAGTTTAATAACTGCATGTATGTAGGGATTGAAGCTTACTGTGTACTGACACTGTGCGACTCGAAGATTTGCATCTATATGCATATTTTATTACAGCATTCCAATTTTAACTGCATTTACTTGCCTTAGTTATGATTTATCTGTAATTTTATTCCTGCTAAGAATGCCTCATTTCGATACGGATATGGAAGTACGAACTGATTTGTTATAGAATATAGTTTTAAAACTACTGTACAAACAATTATTAATTTGTAGTGCAATTTTCCATCTCAGTTGTGAAACAATTATATGTAATAATAGTTTGCATTTTCTAACAAACTGACCTGGTATTTTAGGCTTTCATACCCAACTGATCAGCTGAACGAAGTGGAAACCCATATCTGTACTCTATATACTCAGAAATTTTAGGCCGTCATAATTTTCAATTTACAACAAATTTAGCTGATGCGGCTACTTTAGGCATACTATAGTTCTCAAAATAATTTCTATTTTAGAGGTAAAAGTTAGAATCAAAATTAAACTCACTGCATCAAATTTAGATTCATTGCGGACGGTTATAAGTTCCAAATTTGATTATAAGTTGCAGTTGCGGACAGTATATATATTTTGCTCATTGGGAAAGAAAAAATGCAATGACCATTTTTTGGAAAAAGACCTTTACTAACGGAGAAAAATATAATTGAAAATCCCATTTTAGTTTGGAACGCGTTGACTTTTGTATTAGAAAGATTAAGGTAGTCTGAATGTCAGTTATATATCCCTATATTTTGCATCAGTTATTTATTCTGTATTGCCAGCAACTCTAATTGCATCCAAATATAGGGGTGTCTGAAATTCAGACACCCTTATATTTGGATGCAATATATATGGGAGTGTCTGAATTTCAGACACCTTTTATTTGGAAGCATGATATAGCGGTGTCTGAATTTCAGACACCCTTATATTCGGAAGCATGATATAAGGGTGTCTGAAGTTCAGACACCCTTATATTTGGATGCAATATACTGTATATAGAGGTGTCTGAATTTCAGACATCCTTATACTTGGAAGCAAGTTATAAGGGTGTCTGAATTTCAGACTCTCTTAGATTCGGAAGCAAGATATAGGGGAGTTTGAATTTCAGACACTCCTATAAATACTTTTGGCGTATATACTGTTTTTAGTGCAATCTTGCATTGACTTGATATAAAAAGGGTATTTGTGCAGACAGTCAAATTGTGTCTGCCAAAAAAAGCGAATTTCCTTAAAAAAATTGACGAGTCTGCGACTTTTTGTTAATTTCCTCAATCTGTGCGGAAAATCACAAGTTTGGAATTGTTCAAAATTCTTTGGAACGCGTTAACAAATTGTAGAACACTGTTGCGTTAGTAGTGACTTGATATATGCATGCTGATCGTTGTCATTTATATATAATTTTCGTTTCAAGTCATAAACAGTGATGAAGATGTGACCATGCTGGGTGAACGTAGGGGTGAAGAAGATACGGAAACAGACACCCAAATGTACGCCACCTCGGATGTAAGTGATACTGATGATGAAAATATGCTCATGTGCTGCTTAGCTACCCATAGCATTATCAAAATTGTTTATATATATAGGTTGCTGAGAGTGAACAACAATCTCCACATACATGTAGTAGCAGTATAGAAGAAGACCTGGCTAATCCAACTTGCGTCACTAGCATGCGGTAAGTCGACCCGACGTTTTATAAAGTATACCAACGACGCAATTATTCATACTTTGATACTTATATACTATATATACTAACAAAACCGACTTATTTACCGAGACCTCGGGAAAGCAGTGTATTTTGTTGTCCATCGACATTCATTGTTGGGTCCAGAAAACACACTGTTTCCCTCAATCTTTTGTAAATAAGTGATACATATTTCTATTGTCATCCAAACGTGCCTGCACTTTTGCAGGGAAGTGGTTCGCTAACACGTAAACATTTCGGAACTCACAACTGTCTCGTATAAACTTGCAGCTCCGGTAAGCTGTTGCAACTCATAATTCGCAACTTCACAGCTCGCAAATTACCCGTTCTCATAAATTAAAAAGTCATTCACTTTCATGTTGTGTCCAGAGGGAAATACGTCAAAAATGTTCGTTTTAACAAGGGTATAGAACAAGCTGTGGACCACATGCATAAAGTGTTTGAAATGCCCGCCAATGCCGTAACATAGTGAGAGTCCGTAATAGCAAGAGTTATTTCAATACATTTTAAAGTGGTTTCTGCAGGGAATTTACGAACTGTTTTTAAAATAGCGGAGTGTAGCGCGGTGTCCGCAAGACAAGACTTAATAAATAATAACTTGATAAATAACTTTTTATAGAACGCCAACAATTACAGTTCTATCTGATTCCGACGATAGTAGCGAGGGAAACGATGTGCCAATAGATAAGCCAGCCCGCAGAAAACGGTAAGTTAATTGTAGTTATTGCCCTCAGGAATGTTAATTGCTAATTGAGGATAGTGAGGGACCGGTCATTAATTACAGGGGAGGGAGGGCTGATGGAAAAAGAGGGGGGGGGTCATATTTTTGTGCATAAAAAAGGGGGAGCAACAAACCCCGTCGTACCATAAAACCTACAAATAAAAAATAGAGAGCAGTATAACTGAAGTAAATTCCAACACAACACCATTTATTAAACTGATTTTAACATGAACATGTATATTGGAACAGCCGTTGACTCAATAAATGGTAAAGAATATATAAATTACGATACATGTATATAGGGCATATAGTTGTCAACTCTCACGGATTCACCATGACTGCGTGAGCATCAAGGATTTTACTAAAACCTCACGGTGAGCTCACGGCTTGTTAATATCTCACGGATTTCGAAAATAACCTATGGTTAAATAGTTCTTAAATATGTTGGACATTTTAACTTTAATTTGTTGCACATTTTAACTATTAAGGTGGCTCAATACAGTTTTTTAAAAAAATAATCAGTAAATTAAAAAAAGTTAAATTATTTAATTTAACTCGTAAACAACATCTGTGGCCCAATCTTACCCTGTGTTATTAATTACGTTATATCTTTATACAAATAGTATATTGAAAATCATTAGCCTGAAAATCCTGTGTTATTAATTTATTAAGTTATATCTTTATATAATAGTATAATGAAAAGCACTTACATGTGTTTCTTGAAATATTTTAACGAGAACCGGCCAAGATTGGCGTTGACAAGAGGTTAACGGCCATAGTTTGGGTTGACATGAAGATTAACAGCAAGAAATAATACAAGGCTGGTCACTTTGACCGTTAATTGCACTAATTCGGACAAACGCCGACAGAAATCAATCGAATAACGCCAACTTCGGCTGTCGCATCCTGGACAAATTACGTTACATCGGAAGAGCGATAATTTTTACATAATATACTTTTCTTTAACAAAATTGAACAATAATCTTCCTGCAGAAAATGCCAATTGAAACTTGCAAATGTCTAATCTTACGAGGTTCGTCACCGATCTGAATTCATGGCCTTCAAATTCGAATTACACGCTGCATTGTCATTGGTCGGCTTTCAAAACAACAACAGGACATTTCCGGTAAGACAGCGAACGTTTGGTGAGTTAGTGAATGGCTAGCCTCCTTCGCAAGTGATCGAATGGCCTGTTGTTGTTTTGAAAGCCGACCAATGACAATGCAGCGTGTAATTCGAATTTGAAGGCCATGAATTCAGATCGGTGACGAACCTCGTAAGATTAGACATTTGTAAGTTTCAATTGGCATTTTCTGCAGGAAGGTTATTGTTCAATTCTGTTAAAGAAAAGTATATTATGTAAAAATTATCGCTCTTCCGATGTAACGTAATTTGGCGAGGATGCGACAGCCGAAGTTCGCGTTATTCGATTGATTTCTGTCAGCGTTTGTCCCAATTAGCGCAATTAACGGTCAAAGTTACCAGCCTTGTATTATTTCTTGCTGTTATTAATCGACAGCTTGCTTGACAGGGTAAGATTGGGCCGCCTGTGGTCACACGGGAAATCCGTGAGAGTTGGAAGCTCTGAAATTTTATTTTAAATAATGATTTCTCTTGGTATAATCAAAAAAGTTGACCATCTAACTGAGCTCTTTCCCGATTTCTTTATTTAGAAATACAGGAGAATTTTACAATGGTAACGAGTCATTACCTGTGTTTGATTGGCAACCAATGGATAAAACTCCAGCAGAGATTCTGAAAATATTGCTAAAGCCAACTGCAGATATCAGAACATGCAAAGCTCCACCAAACAACATTTCACACAATGTTTGCTTCCTTCTTGATACCTCTTATCTAGTGTCACAAAATGACTGGAAATGTGACGATATGGGTGCTTGGACGAATAATGGAGTCAAACGTATCCAGCTTGCTTTGCGAACTGATGGAGACATTGTTCCGGTGGACAGTCCATTTGAGGGATACACATTGAAGAGAGTATACTACAAAAACAAATCTTCGCCAGATTTGAAAAAGGTTGTGTCATCTTTACAAGGTAAGAAATATTAGTCGAATTGCGCGTAATTATTCGGTTGTGTGTAATTGTATTGCAACAATTATTTGTGAACAACAAGTGATGAAATACTAAAATTTTCGTTGCGGACACTTTCTGCAAGCATGCCTTTATTCAATTACACCTCGCATAAAAAGAACCATTGTGCTAAAAGCTATCAGCCTAAGTTTCATACAATTGCTTAAAAGCACGCAAAATACAAGACCACTTTAGGCTGACAAGTTATAAAAAAGTACTCAATTTATATGAAAAAAAAAGTCAAAAATGAATAAAAGTTAAAAATGAACGGCATTAGATAAAACACAAAAATACATTTATTTTGAAATGCATCGCAATTTTTTATTATCAAGGTTACGAAGTTTGTTCAAAGGGCTCATCTTTACGTGAAGAGACACGCAATTTTTATTCCTTTTTCCTCGGTGGATAACGTATTGTCTCCCTCTCGAATTCTCGCGCGCGCTGTTGCGAGGGAAACAGAATAATGAAAAAATATAAAAATGGAGCTTTGACGATCGGTATATAATAATAGTAGAAATGCTGTGCTGAGTGGTTATATTACTACCTTAAAAAATAAGCAGAAACTCGACATTTCGAGCGAAGGCCCTTCGTCAAGAGTTGGTAGCCTGCTTATTTTTTAAGGTAGTAATATAACCACTCAGCACAGCATTTCTACATTGGTACTACCTACACTGGTACAGACAGTTTGAGTATATTGTAGTGTATTTTGTCGTTCTTTACACCTATTGTTGTACACTTTTTTCGTACATTTTAGGATATCCCAATTCAATCTTCTTTCAATATATGTTCGATGGGATAGAGCATCAAGTAACACCAGCTGCTCACGGAAATAACAAACGACAACACACCCCGGCCTACACGAGGACGAAAGAGAGCACCGTTGAGGAACTACGCAGTGCAGCATCGTCCCAAGCACCAAAAGCAGCTTACCACACGGTTCACAAAGAAAAAGGTGGAATTTTGCACGCGTCATCGATAAGCGATCTCCCAAGAAATCGTGACCAGGCAAAATATGCAAGGAGAGGACATACAATTTCCACAAACTTTGAACACATTGATTCCCTTGCGATTTTGCTAGAACAATGTAAGCGACAGCAAATTAATCGCGACGAGCTTCCGTTTATCAGAGAAGTAACTGGAGCCCCTGAATTGCGGTGTGTTTTAGGTTTTGACTGGCAACTACATGATATAGCTACGTTTTGCACTGACCCAGAAGAGTTTTCAATATTCGGTGCCGACCCGACCTTTAATCTGGGCAGATTTAACGTCACGGTGACCTCGTACCGTAATCTAAAAGTGTTGGACAGAGCAAGTGGTAATCATCCAACAATGATCGGGCCAATGTTAATAAGCCAAACCAAGTCTTTTGATGCGTACAATAATTTCTTCAGCAAGATGTTAAGCTTAAACAAGGATACGCGAGGTATCTTAGCCTTTGGTACTGATGGCGAGGAGGAATTGTATAGAGCAATGAGATTCAGTTTCCCACATGCAATCCACCTGCGATGCTTCACTCATTTCCGCGACAACTGCAAGGAGCAACTGAAGTCCTCTAGAGTACCTGATGAAGCACAAAAGGAGATTCTAGCGGATATATTTGGACGCCGAGTTGGTGACACATTAGAGAAGGGTACGTGTTTATCGTTGATAGTATCAAATAAAAAACTGCACGACATGAACAGGGGCGCACATTCGAAAAAAATTTGGGGGGTGTCCTATGTTCTGGGACCGACTTTTGTAGTATTTGTGTTTGGTAAGAAAAGCCAACTATTTAAAGCGCATAGACGGTAAGACGGGGATAGTATTCCAAAAGTTTAAATAAACGTTCAGTTTTTCAGAACTTTTGCAGTGGTCTAAACTTTCGGATGGGGGGCGGGGGCAAAATTTTTATGGATTTCGAATGCGAGCGCCGTAGGCGCGAGGAAAATTTTGAATTTCTAGATTCATTAGAACGCTATTTCACGTATTTTAGGACGAGGTTTGAAGAAAAGTTACAACCACAAAAAGACATTTTTAAGTCGCCTAATGTTGTTAGATCGAAAAAATATTTATGTAAAACATAGTATTGTACACGCAAATACAACAGCAAAATAGCATCATGTCTTCGTTTTTGTAGAAGTCGGTCATGAGTATCGCCTTGAGCGCAAATTCAAGTTCAAATGTGCTTTAAAGCAACCATAAGCATTTTTTACTGGAGTTAGGATTCTAGGTAGGGAAGACTTCAACTTTTATTGGCAAACAGAAGAGATGGGTATCATTATTCACACATCGTACCCCCACCCCAATTTCTGCCCGGATTTCAGCTTTCCACAAGGGCTGTCCTTATGCCCATTGCAGAACCCCCCGAGCCCCCATCTTGGCTACGCCGCTGATTTACTTCTGCCTTCCAAAGTTTCAGCTTTTACGACAAGGCTAACAACGAACAATTTTAACTGCACCGCGGGGGCTTGAGGTAATCGGATCGCATTACGTTGGTTGAACTGTTGCAACACGGAAGTTGATTATTTGCTCTCTTGAGTGTGTCAGTGAACTCTAATTTGTGTATGTCTAATTCGTTTTTCTTATGTTTATGCATGCAACTTCCATTTCCAGAATGTCCACCTATTACTTTTTTCGACACAAAATGATAATATCTTTCAGATTTTAGCCGGACCGACTTTTTCGTCCCATTCAGATTTTGGGACCGACTTTTCACCCCAGATATATTTCACAAAACATGGGGTTGCCCCCTCCCCCCTAATGTGCGGCCCTGGACATGAATTAAAGAAATCAAAGGCCACAACCGCAAGCCCGCGCAGAAATTTTATACGTGGTTATACTTGCATGAACCCCGTTCACCTAGACCGGTGCACAGAATGGTTTTAATTATATTCTTGAGATAAAGAAGGTAATTGTTCTAACAGACTCAGTCACGTATTTACCTTTCTATAGGGCTACTTGATGCTGACAACCCTGACGAGTTTCGGGAGAGATTGAGCTCTGTAAAAGAAGTGTGGGACTCAAAAGAACAAGAATATCTTCCAGCTGGTGTGACTCCTAAGTTTCACAATTACATACTCAGCAAGGTGAGATAAACCACAATGATTGTACAATAAAAAATGCATAAATGACACACAAATCTTTGGCATATAAGGGTGCGTGTGTTTGTTGTTTCAATCTTTATAAAATGCCAGGTTAATGCCATAATTAATGCTCTGCCACTCATATTATACCCGTGCATTGTGTATGTAAATATATGTTAAAACTTTATTTAATTAAGCACGCTACCCTCACTACCAACAGATGATTAAAAACTCAAATAGATTTTACATTCATAGACATATTACAGTACATATGATTAAACACGTACACATGGACTATAAGATAGGTACATACTTAGGTTTCGGCTCGCATTTTTCTCCGATAGTGGATGTCAGATCGACAGATCATTGAATCATAATATACTTTAATCATAATAATTTTGATTAGTACTGTGTTATTAAGCCTTTTGCGCTCCGCGTATTCGACTTTTCCGCTTAGCTCGGGGAAAACCTTAAATCTTAATTAAAATAGCTGTGTACTGTATGTATCATGTACATTGTACAGTAATGTGCGTAGTTGTATAGCCCCAGCGAGTTAACGCTCCGTAGAGCGTCTTGTTCAATTAAGGTTGTCCTCCGAGCAAAGCGGAAAAGTCGAATACAAGCGCGAAAGGCTGCTGGGTATCGCTAATAAACGAATGAATTTATTAGCGATTCCCAGCAGCCTTTCGCGCTCGTATTCGACGTTTCCGCTTTGCTCGGGGGACAACGTTGATTGAAATAGCTGTATATATTTAAATTGAAAAGATAAAAGAACAGGTTGATATTGCCTGACTCAATATTAAGCATACATATCTCTCACGTCAATCTCTTGAATTAACAGTTTACCCATGGGCGTACCGGATGGAAAAAATTAGGGGGGCGGCAAGAAATTTGCCCGACTTTTCTGGATTTTGCCCGACAAGTACCCCCCTCCACGTCGCCAAAAAAATTTCGGTCAGTGTACCATTTTAGGGGTCAAAAATTTTTTCCAGACATGCCATAATTGTCCGGAACCTACAAAATTTTGGGAAATTTCACAAAATTTTCCGCAAAATTTACAGAATTTGTCCCATTTATTTTTTTAATTAACCAAAATTGCCCGACTGTTCAGCGAATATTGCCCGACTGCCCAAAAAACTGGGGGGGCTACCGCCCCCCCCGCCCCCCCCCCCGCCTGGTACGCCCATGAGTTTACCGACGTAGCATGCAGTCACATTTATTTATCACACTTATTTTTTTATGCTTTTTTATTGAATACAATCATCGAAAAAAATCGCGTGTTTTAAGCGGCTGCATTTTCACGAAACCTACAGTAACAGTATATAATTTATAGCCAATTTCTAAACCACTTGATAATTATGAAAACAAATCCACCTGGCCGAAGCGCACTCGTATTTATGTTTACGTAATATACAAGTACTATGTTTTCACAATACCTTACAGTACCTAATTTAACGCTTTGTAGGAACAAATGCTAGTTCAGTGCATGTTAAAAGACGTCCGTCGACATGCTGGTTTGGGTGACCCTCCTGAACCATTTTACAACAACGTGCCCGAATCAGCAAATGCATTGATTAAACGTGGTGTCAATTTCAAAGAGAATGAGATGAGTAAATTCTGTCAGGAAATGAGCGTTTTGGTGCTTAGACAAACAGAAGACGTGGAATCTGCCATCATCAATCATGGTCCGTATCGTCTAGCTCCGAAGTTTTCTGATTTGGAGCTTTCAGCTGATCAATGGTTTAAGAAAAATTCCCATCAAAAGGAAGCCTATGTCAGAAAATTTCACAACGCCAAAATGTCCCCTCTTACCGTCGACAGCTCATCCATACAACCGAGTGCATCAATAACAAGCCGGCAAACGCAGCCGGTCGAAATTTCTACCGACCTGACAAGCGTTGGTATAACCTCAGCCAGCTCAACTACCCTAGAGCACGTTTCAGCAAAAGCCAAAGTATTGCTCAACAAGGTTGATGCAATTATCCAGGCACCAACTGCAGACGGGCAAGCATACATGGTCGAGAGTGAAACAATGGCAAAACCTCATTACGTCTCCGTTGCTAAGAATGGCAAAGTTACGTGTACTGATTGTCCCGGGTGGAGCGCTTTTAAAATATGTTCGCATTCTCTGGCTGTGGCCGAAAAAACGGGTAGAACAGCTGACTACGTGAAATGGCTGCGTGGAAAGGGTCCACAACGCCCAAACCTAACGGCTCTAATAACCTGCGACAGTGGCAAAGGCGTTGGGAAAAAATCAAGACAGACAGCGACTGCAAGGAGGAAAGTTGGCCGAAGCTCGAATAACGCCCCACCAACCACAGTTGTCGACCGCCTACAATCACGTCCCACCACCACCAGTGCATCCATAAATCCGCCATTATCTAACCCCGCGGAGGTTTCTTCTCAATCATCACTTCCTGGAGGATCAACCAACCCACAACGTATCCATGGACGGTTTTACCAGTGTACGAACGGTTTTTACAGTGTTCCAAATTTTGATGTACAGCCGCCACATCACCAACCTACATCAAATAACCAGCAGTTGCAAGATCTTCAACCTTCAAATGACGTACGGCCGTCAATGGTCTACCCGATCTACAGTGCAATGCCATTCTCTAGACCATTGGAGGGAATATATGTTCAGCTGCTGCAGTTATGCTCACCTCTAGTTCGAACATGCTTTGGCTGCTCCCAGTCACTTAAACCTCATGGGGCAATTGCCATAGAGCCGTACGATCTGGTATTAGTGACAAAGATGAATAGGGAATGGCCAGATAAGATTACAGGAGAGAGACGCCAGAGTTTCCAGAATGTGTACTTTCACATAAATCTCCGCTGTATTAAAATGAAGCAGCCCTATTTCAGTCCACGAATGGTGACAACACCCGATTCAGTTAGAGCACATGTAACTCCTGTGCATACACATTTTCTAACAGAGTTTGGTATAATAATTTAATTGTACGTAATCACAGCACCAGTTGGCTGTTCGGACTTGAACCTTGTTGTTTTGTTTTTTGAGATATAAGTTTGTTTATTGGGACATTATTCTTTGTATAAGATGTCTAAATTTTACCAGTTTTATAATGCAAAGTCAAAACATTTACAATTGCACTGAGGTATGGATGGGTATAAAACTTACTAATGGACTTTATATTTCAGAATATAGCTTTTATAGAAAAAAATTTTTGTGACTGTCAAAAGTATAGTGATAAATGAAATTACATTACCTTGTCAGTTATATGACACCATAACTTGTATTTAATTAAGTCGAGTCAGCGTGTTCCCAAACGACTCGTAAGAGTTATTTGAAAGCAAATTTTTCATGACATTTACCATTTTACCTTTCAAAACATAACATTTTGTCACTAAATACGTCACTTTTTGTGCGTGTAAACATACAATTTTTTAACGGCTTTTCAAATAAGATTTGCGCGCTGCGGGCAAGTTTTCTTTGCACAAACAACATGTTTCCGGGTTATTTAAATTAAATATCTGACAATCTGATTAATTCGGTCGTTGAAATGGTGTACACAGTTCCTTAATAGATTTGTGAAACATGTTGTCTAAACTGTAAATTTCAACGAGTTGAAACAACTCTAAAATAGCTATTCTGTCATCGTTTTTGGTGATACAATATAACACTCGGTGGGGCTGATTCAACTCCTTGAAATTTACAGTGTATATATGCAAAGAAAACTTGCACTGACAGCGCGGTAATCGTTATGTATTTAGTGTCAAAATGTTATGTTTTAAGTATATGTATCATGAAAATTTTTGCAGACTCGACGCTTGTATGGATAATACAGTATAGACTATCTCTATAAAGCGACTAAGCCTATGGCAAGGTATTCGCACTGAAAGCGATTAGCCAATTACTGCGTAGGTGGTCTTCTTTGTCAAACCGCAAGTGTTTTTCTCAAATTATCCGGTTCCGTTGGCGTCAAGTCGGCATTTCTTAAATTAAATAACAGACTTGAGAGAATTATAACTGACCCGCTATACTTATCCAGTAATGGCGAAGCGAATCTTTTTTCTCGCGAAACAAATACGGCTGCTACTACCCACGATGTCAGATTCACTTTTCACATGGAGGGGGGGGGGGAGGGGGCAGCGGTGGAGTCTGGCCTTTACACTATCAACGTTTTTGTGCTCACTGCATGCAGGATGCTTTTATTAACGAAGTTTGCACCATTATTAAACACCCTTCAAAAACACAAATTAAATTTAAAAGGCGAGATGACGCCACTTTGAACACAGTAACTTTGATGGTGTAAACCGGCCTTTACATAGTAGGTGTATGATTGTTAGTCGGTGGGCATATGACGTAAGACGTCATTGGGTGAAGAGCGTTTTGATGTACAAAATTCTTAATGAACAGTCCGCTCCAAGTCTTAGAGAAAAATTTATCAAAATTAAAGATCTTAATAGAGAATATAATCTTCGAAGTAATGATACTGATCTAGCACTCCAAAACCTAAAACAAACTATCTTAAACGAAGTTTTAAGTATAGTTTGGTTTCAAAGTTTGTTTTCCGCGTTTTACCCTCTTTTCCGCGTTTTACCCTCTTTCCCGCGTTTTACCCCCTTTTCCGCGTTTTACCCCCTTTTCCGCGTTTTACCCTCTTTTCCGCGTTTTACCCCCTTTTCCGCGTTTTACCCTCTTTTCCGCGTTTTACCCTCTTTTCCGCGTTTTACCCCCTTTTCCGCGTTTTACCCTCTTTTCCGCGTTTTACCTCCTTTTCCGCGTTTTACCCTCTGTTCCGTTTCCGTTTTTCCGTTTCCGCCATTCCGGTTCCGCCGGTCCGTTCAGTTCCGTTTCCGCGTTGTACCCCTACCCGGGCAGCGACCCCCTCTGACATAGACCTGAACCAAGGGGTGATAATCCACTTGGACAGTACCTACGATACGACTGATTATATTTACATAAACAACCTGAGTCTATGGGCCTGAAGTTGACCATTGGGAACACTTCAACCCCACAAATACACAGCATGTGTATTCCCCATAGACGAACTCCCACCACAGCTGTATTTGTATACAAGACAGCTGCTGCCAGATGATAGTTAGACATATATTTGGGTGTTACCATCACTCATACTATAGCTGGATAGTCAGGAAGGCCAGAAAAAACCTGGAATATACAGGAAACCTGGATGGGGCCAAGACAACCAGCAGCTTCCCCACAAAGCTTCTATCTTACAATTTTTTAATTGGAGGGTTGGTAACACGACAAACAAAGCTTACTATCGAGGCACATTTTAATTATTTTTATTTAATTTTTTTTTTTTAAATTAATGTGTTCATGAATACGTTTTGCACAACATTTATTTGTTAACCACACTTATTTTATTTCAATTATGATCGGTGGAACTTTCTCGAATTATGTGACATTACTCTCAGAAAAATAGCTTATTCATTACTTTAATTCAAAATAGCAAGACCAAAATTTTGCGATCAAACATCCAATCATGCATGCATGATATTAGCAGAAAGAAATTGTAAGAATATGTATTTGGTAGTCAAAATAGATTATATGCAGTAAATAATAGTACATCAAAGGATTTTCAATTTTCAAAAGCGTAGGCATACATGGTATCGTACCAATCTTTCCTGATATCCATCTTGCCGATTTATCGCAAATGTACCAAAATGTATATCATGTGCAGAGTTTTAAATCTCAAATTTCGTTCACAAATGAGCTTGCTTTCTTAAGTTTTGAACAGTAAAGTATTGAAAATGTATGCAGGTCAAATTAATTTTGTGAAATAGCTGAAAAAGAAGTTTTATAATTCTACTTTTGAGCGATTGAATACAGTTTAATGTAAGGCCTGATTGAAACCCAATCCAACGCCAAATCAGAGGCGTAATCTGAAGCCTGCTGTAATCTGCGGCTAACCTCAAGGTAGTAATAAAATTGTCATTGGAATTCTTGATCGACAAATATAAATACCAGAATCACAGAATGTTGTTATAAAATAGACGAATTTTAATACATTTTGGTTGGTTTGAGATGCGGAATACGAAACAAACGTGTCAATGCACCGCATACTTACGCGCCGAATACCGCTTCACTTTAGGAAGCATGTGCATTGAGACATGGAATGATATCAATTGAACGCTTGTTGATTTCGTGTTTAGCTGCTTTAGCCTATCGATCTTGTTGTTATTCCCCCAGCGGCGGTTTCATTTAATGGTAATAACTTCGTCGGGACTTGGGCCAACGTACTCCTTTGTCCACCAAAAGAGTAAAAGCGCTTGTCCGGTAGAGTTCTATTTGAATAAACTGCGTCTCACTGAATTATCATACTGAGTTACTGACCAAATTTTCTTTAATATAACCATGATATGTCAATTCCAGCGTTCATAAACTCTTTTCTGTCACATTGTCTCAGTTCATTCGATGTCCGTAATTCTTTACAGCCCCGCACCAAGTCAAATTTTCAAATTTTCTTTCTCTGTAACAAGACATTGCTCTTTGTTTGGATATTTGTCAAAGTGAACTCCCTTATCACATTGACCTTTGTTCTGCGTGTTCGTTGTTGACATATGATTGGTCAGTTGATCTTTCATTTGGTTTACACGTGCCCAGAGAAACATTTGAACTTTGGACTATTGGATATCGCCTTTTTGTGGCTGTTGACAAGCTTATCCTGTTACTATGAGATTATAACTAGGTTTGAAGGTGACAAACGTGTTGTCTCATTAATTTGAATTTATATATTGTTATATATAAATTTGCTGAACTGCGGCAACACTACAAGGACAGCAACTGACGAACTCGTTGTAAGGAAAGCGTGTCGTCTATTGCATGTCTTCCATTGGAATTAGTACGGCTAGCTTAAGGATCGAGGATCAAAGACATGGCTTTGTGGGTTGCACAGAATAGTTCTACGACCCAATATCAAATAGCTGCCCTGCGTGCTTGTCGATGTGATATTAATTTTAATTTTTCTTGCAGACATTAAGTGACCCAAGATTTAAAAAGATTATGGAGGAAATCCAGAAAGTGATCCATGATGACACGCGTTATCAAAAGGGAACTATGAACATGAGGACACAGAAATGTTTTGCAATAAAAGTAAGAAAATGAAGCAAGACTGTTTAATATTACAGTCATCAAAAATGTATAATTGCAGTGCTGCAAAGTAAAATAAGAGAGTGGCGAAACGGGTGCAAATTTGACAACACCGGCATAACGCATTTGTCTTTGTTTTCATGCCACAACCATACGCTCAAGCAGGGCAAAACTATTCAGTAATAAGTATTAAGAATAATTACCGACTAAATTAAGGTGGTATAGAACGCCAATTTTTATTTGTAAATAGTAGGATTTTAATGTTTTAATTAACTCAGGTTTTAGATATTTAGTAACAATAAGACTGTGTTGAAAGAGAAATATAGACATTGATGTCGTCCAAAAGCACAAATAAGTAATAATAATTTCATATTAACAGATAAAGTAAGTAGTTATGTTCTTGAGCGTTACGACGGCGATCACATGACTATCGAACACGCTATAATTTCATCAGTGCATAAAAGAAAGGTTCTGTCAATTGTATATATAGTTTTTTTAGCGTACGTCAGTTTATATTTAACAAATATAAAACATTTTCCGTATTGATATACAGTTATATCCGTGAGTTATGTAAACACTCGTGGAAATTGGGAAAACGATAAATTGTGTGGAAACACGACGCCCGAAGGGCGGGGCGGAGTGTTTTCACAGAATTTCGAGTTTTCCCAATTTCCATGAGTGTTGATATAACTGTATATCAATGCGGAAAATGTTTTTAATATATTTTTTATAACACAAAGAAATATAAAGATAGAAATTTTCCGTGTTGACATTGAGTTATATCAACACGGCTCTTAACCAATCAACGCTCAGAATTAACAAATGCTATATTATATTTTATATTAAAATATCATCGTTTTAACACTGATACGTACAGCTCGTTATGCCATGCAGGGTGTTCATTAAATTGATTGCGCATTTGCTAATGATCTACTGGCAATGCTTTTCCACCAGGTGATATTTGACCATCATGTTCAGCATCATGTTTCATTGACCATCATCAGGCTTCATTGAAAAACACCTTTGGTGATATGCGAACCTCCTGATTAAATATTATTATTATTATTATTATTATTATTATTATTATTATTATTATGTCGTTGTTGTCATAATTATAGAAAATAATTAAAAGTACAGTTTCGATCTAATTACCATAATTTTTCTTTCTATTTTCACAGCCTCACATTAATGGTATGTATTCAGCAATTACATTTCAGAATCATCCTCAGAGATACCAAAAACCAGTTTCATATTAGTCTGACACTGCAGTCGACCAACGAAAAATTCGTTGGCTCGAGCGGGTTTTGAACTCTCATCTTCGGGTATCTAGACCGCCGCTGTATACCCATTGAGCTACGTTTCTAGAATACAGTGCCTATAGCCAGCATGCTTATATTTCCAGGGTTATTGGATGTTGCAAGAAGGACGTACACAGAGATTGTTGACGATTCTTTAGGTGTGTTTTAACTCACTAATCTACTTTCATGAAACATCTGATTTTTGTATTAATATACTTGTGAAAAAATAATACTCCCACGAAAGGTAATTGAAGGGAAAAACAATAATAATTTAAAAATAATAGTTACAGCCGTTACAAACTTGCAATTCCTGCGAATAGAGCTTAATTAATAGCAGCATTAATCGTAATTGCTCCTGCGATTAATAAGTTTTAAGTATGTGAATATAGTTCTAGCTCGACATAATTTTGACCAAAACAAAGAAATCCTATGCTTTTAAGCTTATGCTTTTATGCCTTAAAACAGTTAAAAGGCTTGTCTAGTTCACACTGACATCAATTCGTAAATTGACTTTTGGTTGGCTCACAACTGAACTCTTTGGTTGCTTCGCCTCGGACTGGATATAGTTCAGTCCTCATGTCTAGTCGTATTTGAAATATATCGTAACATTTTTGTGAATGTTTTCGGTTATGTCTTATTTATTGTGTATAGAATTTTTCTCTCGACGTTTTTATGTAAAATCTAATCATTGACAAACATTCCTATTTTGGTTGCAGCACTGGTGAAACAGCTTGGAGACAAACATGACCTGCCTGTGAAATCTGCTTATAATTCTACCAGAGGGTTCCATGCACAAATGCATCTAAACAATCAAGATAATGTATCAATTGAAGACTTACCCAGTCAGTTTCTTAAAGTTGTCAAGACCAAGAATGTTCTTGCATTCACCACTGCCGATTTGGTAAGTTTATGCAGGAAATATGTATAATTGGGTGAATATCATGAGGTGCAATTAAATCAACACTATTCCTAATGTTACAATCCTATAATCCTATCTAATCTTTAGCCCAACCAGTGAGCTCTTTATTCATATGGAGTAAGAACGTCATTCATTCGGCTTTTGAAAAAGTGAAGCCAAAACTGCACCTACTGACGTTCAAAATGTACGAAGGCCCGTTTGCACTTGCAATTTTTGCTGCGATTTCCTCTTCTGATGGACATGAACGAGTGGATGAGTGATGAATGTTCAGATGAGGGTACATGTACTTCGAACATTCGTAACTTATCTACCCATGCACATCCATCTGAAGAAGAATATCGCACTGGAAATCGCAGCAAAAATTGCAAGTGTAAACAGGCCCTGAACTAATTTTCATGCCATGTCGCCCACCAAATTCCAGTTTTTCTAACGGACATGCGGTATCGCGAATCAAGTTAAAACTACAATATCATTCTTTAAACCGAGGTCAAAACACGAAATTTTGGCACACTTCTTGCAGCCGTGTGTTTAACCGCGCAAACAAAAATAGTAGAAAAGAACTGGAATTGGGCACTCAATTTCCGCCATTCTTGGTTTCCCTTTTTGGTCACTGGCTCTGACCTATCAATCCTAACTCTAATCCAGTCTATCTATAATCATTAACGTAATCCTGATCCTAATTATAACTCTAACAACTTCTAACCAATTGTTTCTTAATTATTAAAGTTATTTTGGCATTATTTTGTCACCTCCATTTCTCAAGCCTTGTTCAAATGAGTGAGACAAGCATGATCAGCTGAGATCATACATTAAAGGACGTTTGGTCTTAGCATTTTTAAACACAATGCGGAAAATTTTATATTGGAATGCTGTTTCTTCCACCTTTAGCCAAACTAGAACTATATGTATTTCTTTCGTTTTGCCTTTTACTAATTGTGTTATCTGACAACTGATGCAAATGTTACAATGAGTAATTCTTGAAATTTTAAATAAGGATCTTGTTTCCACAGGGCTATACACAATTACCAATGGGATTATTTCTCCTTCCTATTTTGTAATTAAAAATATAATTTGCGATTTCTGCCCCGGGATGGCAGACCTGTTCTTTCTCTCTCTTTTCCTCCTTTCCCTTTAACCTACTTTATCTAGTCCAGACCCTCCTAACTTTCTTGGCCCATTTTCCTCATTTCCTTCTCAGGGTCACTCCCCCACCCCAAACCCCTGCAGACATCCCGCCGTTGGAAGGGTGAGCAAATTGTAATTATATACACCCTGTTGTTTGCAGCTCCTACGTTGGTCATTCATCACATATGAACCAGATTTTTCCCTTTTGCGTCTTCCCATACATTTATCCAAGAACTTCCCAAAGCCATGCGGGAGCTTCATGGTTGTAGAAAAAATTGGAAGGATTAGCATAAATTTAATTTATTGAAATATATTGACTTTTTCGAAACATTCTGACAACTAATGACTATTTGTTTTTAGATCAAACTTAATGGTTAGTGTATGAGTGTACTTCAGATAAGTATTAATAAAAACTTTGTTCCTTCACTATGTGAAAGTACATTATACAAACTCTATGAAACCCAGGCTATATCATACTGTCGTACATTCATTTGTTCGACTACTTCTATTTACAACTTGTAGATCGCATACGAGAATCGATGAACGAAATTTACCTCATGACAAACATGTAAGTGTATATCGCCTCTAACGCTTGTATTCTAAAAGCTCACTCATACTCACATTCAAAGATTGGAGGTTTGATCTGCGCTTCTCTTGGGTGTCAATACTGCATTTGAATAGCTGGAGGATGAGTAGTCACATAGTAATGTGCGCGACACTAACCATCCAGCTATTTAAAAGCAGCACTGACACTCAAGAAGATCAGATTGAACCTCCAATCTTTGAGTGTGTGTGAGCGTTTAGAATAGAGGAGTAAGTTCTTGGGTTCAATTCTCAGTAACGGAATCATGTGAAAACAGTCAGCCAACGCTCTGTCGAAAGTCGTGGGGTTCCTCTGGGTGCCTTCGTTTCCTCACCTAAAGAGGAAGTTGACAGGGTGGGTTAGACTGATAAGCACAGTTAAGAAAGTAATATCACAATTGTTGCATCCCTACTTTGTTAATGTTACTGGTACTATACCAACACTGGCACAGACAGTTCAAAAAACAAAAAGTTAATCCTAAGGGACTTACCTCGAACCGTGATATTATTCAGTGGTTCAATTCTCGTTTCCTGATTACAGCATTTCATATATGATACGTTTTATATATTTTTAATTAAGTTTTTGATGTATTTTGTATATATTCTTAATGGTATGCATTCACTGTTCATGCAGCTACCTAGTAGGTACCGGGGCCTGTCGACATTCAAGATTTTAATTAGCCCTGGCGCAGGAAGTAATTTGCGATGTGGTAAATATTTAAACTTAGTTTCACTTTAGTGTTGTATCTGAGCTGTTGGCAGAAATACGTGATCAAATAGGCTGTCTTTACAAACTAAGTGATTGTGTTGCCACATTGGATCTCTTGGTTTCATTCGCTCATTCATGTACTCTAGCAGAATATGGTAAGTTGCTTTCATAATTATAAATTCCGTGACATAGTATTTTTCATCAAACTCTGTCGAATACAGGATCAGAGTCGCTTTAGAAAACGCCAGAAATGCAGTTCTGGGGCTTCAAAAGTGTAAAAATGTTTGGGGGAAGACCCTCAGATCCCTTTTCTTCGGAATCTTAGTATGACAGTAAAAATCGATCCCATAAAAGCTCTATTTTTGGCTATTATAATTAATACACGTAAGGTAAATTTTAAAGATTGAAGTTAAAATTTCAGGTAAAATCCTATGCCCCCCCCCTCCCCCTCCAACTTGAGATGCTTCGTCCCTGGTTGTATTGATTAAAGGAATACCAAATGGTTTTCCATGCAGGATAGCGTCATCCCTGCACGCGGGATGTTGCGAGACTTTCAGAAAGCGTAAAAAACACGAGCTGCAGCCGAGTGTTTAATTCTCACGCTTTCCGAAAGTTGAGCAACATCCCAAGTACATGAACGACACTGTCGTGCACGGAAAACCATTTGGTAATTGTTTTATAAAATAACTACAGTTGAACGAAGGTTAACGTTTTAAAATGTTAACTTTATATGTAAACACATTTAGATATACGTGTACTGCCTGTCATTTTTAAATCTTTGTAACTCGCATTTGAATATTGTAAGATTGATAATGGAGCAATATAAATCAATAAATTACTATTAATTATTTTAAACGGTTAACTTTATTAATTCTAAAATTAACTATATCACAACTTTATTAACGTTTTCGTTGACTTGTCCCTCGTTTAATACACTGTTAACTTCACACGTTCAAATGTTTTAATTGTCCGACATTTAAAAATGCCCGCGCGAATTAGGCATTTATATTTTCCATGCCTGATTGTCTGATTCTGCACTGGTATAGACCAATCAAATTGCGTGTTTCAACGATGATTACATACAGCTACGATGAGAAGGATATGCAACTACCTGAAAATATAAGCAGAACTCAGTCAACGTTTCAGGCCCTTCGTCTGGAAGACAGAAGACCAAACTAATAAGTAGCTTACACTTATTGTTTAGGCCCATTTGGATTCGGTAATCTACTGGCTAGGATACATATTCACGACTTTGAGCAAGAGAACATGAGTACTTGCATTTGCGCAGCAATTTTCATCAAGAAAAGTCCTTCAACATTTTGTTCTATAGAGCAGAAGTCCACTTTGTCTTTGTCTTTATATTTGTAATAATCAAAATTATTAAAGAACATAAATATGAACAAAATGAAAAACTAGAGTTGTTAGGACATCAATGACAGGCATAATGAAAGGAGATAAGTTGTTTCATTGTCTAAGTCAACAACATTTTTTAATTAATAATGGTTAAAGATTATGCGTTGTTTTGCCATTTCGTCTTCAAAACACCTGTACGCGATTTGAGTTCGAAATTATAATAAAGTGAATTTGAGAGTACTGAGCTCAAAATTTGAACTGGATAGAACAATATTTTGAACTAGGAATTAATTTTGTAGCCATTTATACGGAGGAGAGAATTTTTAATTTGTCAGATTCCTCATGAGACAAATCGTTAGACGTCTTTAAATTAGTTATACTGTCAAGAAGCTATACCTTCCTCGACGGGATGTGGAAGATATAGCTTCCCGCACAAATCGATTTTGAGGGTTTTCAGCCATTTTTTTGGAAAAGCAATGGCTACTGCTCAGAGCAGTCCGAACAGCAATTATTGCCTCACACTATTGCCTAAATGCTTAAAGGCCATTTTTCAATACTGAAATTATACTAAACTGCATTAGCACTGAGTTTATATAGCACTTTCTTGAACATGTTACCTACTCGCCTTGCGTTATTGTTTTTGTTTCGATGTGGATTGACGCAAAACCTGTACCGAGCACTATTAACGTTTTGCATTTGTGATGAGTGCATTATTCAGTTGGCCAACCATCTTCGGGCAAGTTCGAATCTCGCAATTAAGAAGCAAAACAAGTTACAAATGAGCTCAACGTTTAACATAATTAATTTAGGTGATACATGACATGATGTTTGAGCAAGAGCACAAGTGCACTTATCAATTGTTTAAATTGTTTGAAATTGGTTTGAATGCATTATTTTAACTGTAGCCTACACCTGCATAAGCACAGTTTTGTTTTTGTCGCAAGCCTCATTTCAAGAAGTAGAACCAAGGCCATCTTGCCATTAAAATGGTGCACCTACACGTTCTAAACGTGTTATTCCTGTGTAGTGTAAATGTCATCTTCATGATCGCAGGAATATTTCTGAACTTAGTGGTTATTATCAGTCTATGGAGATCATCACAGATTGGGAAGAAGCTATGCTACTTTATGATTCGGATCTTATCATGTTTTGATCTGATAGTGGTTGCAATTACTCATCCTGTTGTTATATTATCAACAATTACCTCCATGTATTCCGGCGATCTATCCCAGCCCCGTGAAAGGATTAGCCTATACATATGCGTTCTGCTACAGAGTTTCTCATTAATGTCACTATTAGGTCTAAACATCGAAAGATTCCTCGCAATAGCTTATCCGTTTTTCCACCAAAGGATCGTGACAAAAGAAAGAGTTTTTTCTTGTCTAGTTGCTACAATATTGTTTGTAATTGTCGGTGAGGCGACAGTAGCCTGTTATAAAATAAGAGCTGCCACAATTTTCATCGCAGTTTTCCTGCCTTTTGCCATGTGTTTGTTCGCATTTTTAAACTACAAAATGTTTATCATTGCAAAATCTAAAGAGACAAACGAGATTATTATTCTTCGGCCACAGACACGAAAGAAGAAACATTTCGTAGGTTTTCAACATATTTCTACGTGTACTTTGGCAGTAATTTGCAGCTTTATCTGCTCTTGTCCGCCAATCGTTTATTTTGGTTTATGTTGGAAGTGGGAAATGCCATTATACGGACAACAGTTTTCATCACTTGCACTCTGGGCTACTACATCTGTCAGCATGAGTTCCACGTTCAATTGTTTAATATTTTTCTATAGAAATACAGTACTGCGTCGCGAGGCGATGAAAGTAATCAAATGCTCTTAATTTAAATAATTTTTTTTGGTCAACCTCGGGTGTGATGATTTCTTCTTGGCAGTATAGCGGCAAAAGATAGGCCTAACACTATCTTTACTAAACCATTATTACTGAGTTTATATAGCACTTTAATATTGTACATATATAGTACTTGGTTGCTTTAATTAAACCGTCCTAGGCAAACGCTGTTTATTATATTTCATGAATAAAACTCTTTTATGTACATGATTTTAACAGTAAAAACGTGCGAAAAGTGTTTGATCAGCATTTCCGGTTGTCAATGTGTTAACTTTTCTTCTCTGTTAGATACTGTATTGTTTTCGAAACTGGATCGTTCTTTCTAAACGTTTGACTTGGAGCGAGCAACAATTATTCACTTGCTGGATATAGTTATTACATTGCATTTATCTAAAGCCACGTGACCCCAAATCAGCCAATCACATTTAGCTTAAGAACAAGCTGTATATTAACAGTAAATTATTCAATTCTTGACAGTCAAACTTGGAAAAAGTGGTTTAAAACAGATTATTTTTCCTGATATTTTTCTCAAGAAATACAGACTTACGTATTTTTATTGGGTCTTTAACCTTTATTTATACGCCTGTATATCCTAAAAGCTTATTCACACTCAAAGAGTGGAGGTTCAATCTAACATTGCCTGCAGTGTCAATGCTGTTTTTGAAATAGCTAGAGGGTTAGTGTCGTACCTTACTATGACATTTTAAGGCCGGCGCACACTGGAGCTATGTGCTTAGCCAAATTTCATTCGTGCCCATTGGCGTAAGGAGATAGCTCTCGTGTGCGGGCGATTTACGAACAACTTTTGTCATTCGTGCCACTTACGCCAAATATCAAACATGTTTGATATTTGGCGTAAGTGGCACGAATGACAAAAGTTGTTCGTAAATCGCCCGCACACGAGAGCTATCTCCTTACGCCAATGGGCACGAATGAAATTTGGCTAAGCACATAACTCCAGTGTGCGCCGGCCTTTAGGCAAGCTCCGATCGAACCTCCACTCTTTAAGTGCGAGTGAGCTTTTAGAACACAGGCTTTAATCTCGAAATTCTGCCAGCAAACAAAAAAACTTTGCCTTGAAGTACTTTAGCAGTTTTCCTCATTATAGGCCGTGGGCTGTTGTGCAAAAACGTGCCTAGAAAAGCAATTTCGTGGCACCCTCCTGGGAAATAGATTTTCTGTAAGTTGTTCAATTCACAGAACCATAGATGCTTAATTACCACAAAAAGTTCCCAAGCAAAAAACCTGCCCAACACCGAGAAAATGGGTGATCAGTGATTATCCTCTATTAAATTGTATTACAGCAAGAAAATGTAAATTTTTGTATTCAATTAAAACAAAAATGACTTGCATTATCAGAAAGCTGACAAAAACCTACATATAAGACATTTAAACAGTACGTTTTTTTATATCTATAATTGTTTTCGAGTTATACGCTGTCAAAAACGCGTTTTTGACCTAGTACCCAGTCCTTATTGCAACATTTTGTCCAATTTTCACATTAGCAATAACTCAAATACTATTTGAAAAATTAAAAAACTGTTTAAAAGTCTTATATGCGGTTTTTGTACGTTTTCCGATGATGCAAGTCATTTTTTTTGTAATTGAATACAGAATTTCCCATTTTTTTGCTGTAATACAATTTAATAGAGGATAATCATTTATCACCCATTTTCTCGGGATTGGGCAACTTTTTTGCTTGGGAACTTTTTTTGGTAGTGATGTACGTATATGCCTTTCAAATAAACCCCAAACCAAGTATTTCCCACATGGGTGCCACGAAGCGAAATAATTTTGGCCAACAGCCCACGGCCTATTAATATTTGGTACACGTCACCATGTACATTCTAAGCATGTTCAGTTAACATGAGCTAGTTTATCTTAGCTCTCAGTTGTGGCCGCAAATTGTGGTCGTGTGGTGCTATTTATTTTAAGAATAGGACTGTATGGAGCATGTGTCAGTATGAATCACTGATCTGCCCATTAGCACTGGACACTGGCGATACTGGTGTGATCGCCACAAATCTACTGTGGTCAGTTAGCGACTTATTGTAGAAGAGATTCTTACAGCTTCTGGTTTATCAGTGTGAAAGGATAAATATTGTTTGAATGGAAATTCATCAACAGTGGCCTCTCTTCCCCTTAAATTATTTAAAGATTTATTCATAGATTGAGCATAGCTAGATACACTAAAAATATATAAAATCCATTAAAGCAATTCGTTTAAAAAGGTTCAAGTTAGTACAAAGTGTCAAACAAACTAGTATTATTCATATAAAAAGGAACTCTAGTGCCCCTCAAACATAGAAGGGAAGATCTCAGCAGACAAAAAGAGAGTTTCGTACGTAGCCAAGACATAGTTATTGAGTATGGTTTGCCAAATTTGGCTGCCAGCTTTGTAGCAAGAATCTTGTGAAATCTCGCACATTCTTTACCCATCGCACCATTTGTGCCAAAGACCAATGGTGTAAAAACTGCTTGCTCAATTTCAATTACTCTTCGATTATATTCTCTTTTCTTCTCATTCTCATGACGTGAGAGGATCTTGTGGGTTGGTAGTAACTTATAGGACGCGGCGTTAAGATGTGCTACTCTTATGTCAAAAAATGCACTTTGACCATGTCTATAGAAACCCCTAGCTTTCACATCAAGTCGTGATTCATCTTCTGTGTTTGTTGATCTCAAGGCAAATTCTTCTCCTGTCACCGGTTGTAAAGGTGGCTCGATAGAAACATCATTGCAGACTTCAGAGAGGAGAGCAGCTTCCAGATTTCTCATTTGGTCGTGGCGCGCGTGTATAAAGCCACCTTTTTTACACTCCATCGCGTGGTAAGGATCGAAAGGTTTTCCACAGGGACATATGCTTGGGAGATCTGGGATATATTTGTTATATCTCAGCGCCAAAGCGTCTCTGAATTCTTCTTTATTCAGACAGAAGCCTTCTTCTTGCAGTGGTAAGACATTTAACCATCCAGAGGCACCTTTTTCTCGGGCTAAAGAGATTGTTCGATGCTGCTCTTGGGAAAGTTGAATATCAACCGATAATGAGGAGGTAGTTGCTCTTTCCACCCGAAGACTTCGAACTTGGGACTTTACGTTGGTTATTGCGTCGTCTTGTGGAAGTTGATTACATGCTTGAATGATGATCAAAGCAGATAGTGGAGCACATAACAGTTTTGACGTATTTCGCTCGAAATCAGCATCTTCTGGGATACGTGGTATTCCCAGTCCTCCATTACGTATGGGTAGAGCATAAGTTTCCCGATCAAGTTGAGAAATATCCTGGCCAAATATAGTTGGTAGAAATTTCGAACAAATAATTTCTTCTACAGGTTGGAACAAATGGGCCACGTTTGGAATAGTCCTGATGTAAAAAGTAAACTTGTGCTTATAACCATGCACAAAAGCAGCGTATGCGGCATGTGGCTGCGACTTCGCTATAGAGCATAGATTTTCGAGCTCAGTACACCAAGTAGAGACTTTGCTATTAACATATTCCTCTCTGAAACAAGTAGATCCAATGACAGCTCCCAGTAATCTATGACCATCGGATGTAATCTTGATGTCGTGACTTTTAAATAATTCAGTGGCTCTCTCTATATCACACGGATCTTTAATTACTAACCAAGATTTCCCACTGTTGACATGGTAGCCATACTTTACGCCTTCGCTTATTAGCATTTCAAAAAACGCCAGTAAAGCACGTAGTTTACCTGCTGCGGTCGAGTCATCGGCAAACCAAACCTGTTTCACCAAATCATATGCATCATGAAGAAATGAAATTAATACCATGACCGAAATGGCATAGAAAGGCATGGCTAATGGGTCCCCCTGTGTTGTGCCTTCTTGCGATCGAAGCTCACCTCCGCCCACAATAAATAGCCTCGCGGGGTTTCGATACGTATTAATTATGGATATCGCTGGTCTTGGGCATAATAACAAAATGTTATGAAGAGCAACTTGACGATTTAGTGAATTAAATGCATTACTTGCGTCAATCAGTAAGATCCCTTCCGTGTTTTCCTCTTCCCATACTTGCTGCATAGCATGGATGGCTGCTTCTGCTCCAGCTTCATGCCCAGCACAGACTTGAATCGGACCAGTCGCTTCTTTGAAATCTTGCTTGAATTCCTTTGTTAGCGCTTTCCCAACCAAGCGCCTCATAATCTCACCAATACCGATGGGTCGTATACCAGGGGACTTGTCCAAGGGGATAAGTCTATTGGCAACATATGCTTCCAGGCAGAAGGGATCCAGACTTTCTGTTGCTATTTTCACAGCAAACAAAGCAATTTGTTCACGCAGGCATTTACCTTCACGGTGAAATTGCTTTGAGCAAAGCATACGAATATACTGATTAGCGTCGAGGCCAGAGGGACCAGCAGCTCCCTTTAGTGTTTTCGCAGCAGTTAGTATAGTTTGCTCATCAACTGCTATAGATATATTGCGAAGGTCAATAATGGGACCATGGAGTAAGCTACTTGGTTGTATATCTGCAGGGGCTGGATGCTTCTCCTGCAGATTTCGAAGGACTTCCTCGGATAATGGTAGGACACAACCATCAGATTCTTCGCTAAGAAGACGAAGAGCAGCATTAACGTTTCCCATCATGATTAACTTTGCAAAAGTTTTAGACAGATTGTCCGAGGATGTCTTTGGTCGTAATTGACGTTGGATAGAACGACATTCTGAAAGCAGACGCTGTAATTCACCATCTTTTAGCCATTTGATTCTACGGCTCAAGGCTTGCGAATGTTCCTTTGCTTTTGACGATACTGAGGGCTTTTGCAGAAGAATCATTGGAAGGGTCATAAAAACCTTCAATGATATACCCATAAAACTATCTTCATTATTAAATTTAGATAGCCATTGTGATTGTAATTTGATGAATTCTTTGCCCGCTTTCCCTGAAGGAATTTTAAATACATTCTTCCGCCATTTCACCGCCTCATCATATGCCGAATCAAAGAAGTCACAGAACAATTTTCCCTCTGTCGAATAAACCCTAAAACCTGAAGAATGGTTTATAGGTTTAAAGCTAGGTAGATTTGGAAGGATTGTCGAGGTCCCATTATGTTCTTCGGATGAAATTGACGTATCACTAAGGGATTCTACAGAGTGACTAATAATGTCCTGGCGAAGTCTTTCTTTTAGTTCACCCTTTAGACCTGATTTCTTTAGCCCCCTCAGTCCCAATGCTTTCTTCAAGTCGACTACTTTTAAATCATCAATATTTTCCACATCAATCAAGGGAAAAACACTGTCCCTGACCCCATCGTCGATCAAGCCACCGTCAATCATCACGTTATTTAGCAATATTAACAATGTGACATGTATAACAAATCGTGTAGAATTGTTCACCAAATCGTTGAATAATTCGCTTCTTCTTTCCGCAATTTGTGAGAACAAAGTACTATGTAGCAATTAAGATCAAATTTGTTTGTAGAGGTGACTTCTTTCAGACAATAAATAACATTTTAAAATCATAATTTGACAGAGCTCGAAATTTTGCAGCCGCCATGTTGGAGCGTGCTTCCCCTTAAATTTGCCGTGAATAACTATAATGAGATCACCAATATGGCTGCCACAAGTTTTATTACCAAGGGTTTAAACGTTCTAAAACTCATTCGAAGAGATTTGGCGAAAGCTATATCTTTAACGTTAAAAAACGACAAGACATTTGCTTGATAATGTAGCTAATTTAATCACGTCGCGATCCATTTGACAGACTACATCACTCGATTGCACTGTTGTTAAAGGATTCGAGCAAAATGCCCAATAATCGTGATATTTACCATGCATATACCCTACAATACTTACAATGACATCACCTTGGTATATACATGAACGTGCGGTTAGAGCTCGGCAACTGGACTCTGTAGCTCAGTCACTGTAGTTAGAGCGCTGCACCGTAATCGTATGTCGCAGGGTTGATTCCTGCCAGAGGGCCTACATTTTTGCAGCTGTTCCTGCATGGTTAGGTCTAAATAATATATAAAATTTATACTGGAATTTCTATCTTCAAAACTCTTTAACTCGTGTAACATCACGTTTAGTTTCACTAAAGAAACACGCCATATATCGGCGCAATGTGGTTGAAGCAGTTGGTTGAAGTTGCAATCAAACTTTTACTTTAACAGTGCACCGTCTCCGTGTGATTTAATTTTATTCAAAAGCAGTGTTATCATTACACTTCACAAAACCCCACACTCTGACTATCGGAGTGGCTCTCCTGGAACTGTCTTAATTATTCCGGCATATGTGTGGGAAGCTGGCGTATTGGAGAGAGGGAAGAGAGAGGGTCTTCGGTAATACACGAAGTTTAACGCCGTGAAAGTATGGTTCAATGAATAAAAAATTATTCAGTTGGTTTCATAATCTTTTCGAGTATTTCCCGACTTTTTTAAATGTTGATATACATGTTTGTTGTTGTGACGCGAGCTTCCACTAAAGCGCACTTTAGCAACCGTGGCAAATAATTACGTTTTAGACTTTAATTTTTATATTTTTAATATCGTTTAATGTTTTAGTTCGACCAGAGTTTACAGACACACTTGCTATTCGCCAAGGACGACATCCAATCTTGGATAAGATTTTGCCAGAACAACCTGTTCCAAATAACACAGTAAGAATAAATAACACCGTGTTAACATATACATGTCTATAGCACTTAATATATAGGTTCTGCATGACAAGTTGTCCTCTTGACACCAATCTTGGGTTAACGCGTTATAACTACCTAACTGGTTTCTTACAATTCCATATACAGGGTGTCCCAAAAAACCCCGAAAACTATTGAAATCACCAATAACAATTTAATTGTTAGAATTTGAATGCCTTAGCGCTCTGTTGGTTCCCACAAGTGCATAAATGATTGACATAAGGAAATTTTATGCATAAAGAACTGTTTAAGAAGCTGTTTTTAATTCCCAGGAGCAGAAAACGAGCACTTTACCAGGAGATATTCCTAACTAAATTCTAATACATGCACCTTGTCAATATTTTACGCATCATTACGTCCAGCTGTTTGGTAGGGCATTCAAATTTAACAATAAGTGATTTCAATAGTTTTCGGGTTTTTTGGGACACCCTGTATATGTCGTGAAATTCAAAACAACTTTGTTACTATCTAGTGGACGTTAGGGACCGCTCATTGTTTATTGTACAGGGGGGGGGATTGAGGAAAAACTGGGGTACCTTTAATTTTTTTAAAACGTGAAAGAGCAGCTTTGAAGAAATAGAGAGAGACAAAAGAAGTAGGGCTTCGAAAAGTATCACTAGTTTGAAAACCATTTAGTAGTTTTAAAAATGTATAAAAAACAACAAATAACCATGTTTATAGACCTTGCATATTAATAATCATAAATGAAAACCAAATAAATAGTCCCTTATCGTCATGTAAATTGGTTCCAATTATCTATTTTTGTTTCTCTAAATATAGAGCTAGAGCGGGGGGGTGAGCGCCGAAATTTATGTTCTTGTTTTGCCTGTTGGAGGGGACTTTGAAAATTCTACTTGTCTGGGAAAAAAATATTATAAAATGTAGAGTTTCTCCTCAACCCCCCGGTACAATAAATAATGAGCGCCCTTAGTATAGGCATGATCTATAACAATATAACTCATTATCTGTGTTAGTCAACGTGTATTCATCAATATGGTCCTTCACCGTCACGTGTGTATGTTTTTCTGCCAAATCCATCAATAGCAATTTCCAGTTTCCCTATTGTTCGAGTCACGGATAGGTGACTTTCCCAAAACATTGCTAATAGTTAGTTGGGTAAAAAAAATATACACACGTGACTGTGAAGGACCTCATTTATGAATAAACGTTGACCAACATGGATAATGAGTTATATTGTTATTCTAATGAGTTTCACAGCCATCTCCCCTTCGATAGGCTATGGTATAGGTAAGGTTTTCAGTTAAGTTTAAGCCTTTAAATTAAGGTCACGGTTAGAATTAGTATTAGGGAGCTTAAGCATGTAGAACGGCAACACGACGACGACGGCCAAACCAAATTGCTCCAAATAAATGATAGTAAAGAAAACTTGACGTGTATTATAATTCGTATGAATTTAATACAGTATAAGAAGTTGAAAACATTGGCTTTATGTTTGGGAAGCATTCTACTGAACCGGATTTTAAGTTGCACTTGTTACGGCTTGAAATGCAGGCGTTGTATAGAAGACGTGAAAATCTGTGATTTGCCGTTGTAAACAGAGCGACGACTACGTCTGAAACTCACCTGAAAATTTAATTATTTCTTTCTTTTCATTGACTCATTGTATTTGGTTGCCGTCGTCGTCGTGTTGTTGTCCTTCATGCTTATAAGCTCCCTATTAGGGGCCGGATTAAAGTGAGAAATAGTAGGAGGTTACGAAATTGTTGCATTATAATTATCGTTTTTACAAAATCGTTGACATTAAAATTGCTTTGTTAGTTGTCTTGGCGCAAATTTGTTACGTGCTTGATCAATATCACAGGAGTTTTCTTGTCATTGTATTTACTGTACTTCATTCTACCTGCATACATTTCATCGAAAATATGTGCCATGTACTATAGATGAGTAAGATGAGTAAAGTATATAGAGCTAGCAACGCTTATAAGAGCTAGCAACCTGCATGGGCACTGTTTATTTCCCAATTGGGCACGTTATTGGGTAAGTGTTGAGACACATAACAACATATATATGGGGTGAAGTATCGTGAAAACTATTATTTATTTTCTATTAAGTACGCAGCTGATGGGAGTAATTTTGTCATCGTCACTGGACCAAATATGGTACGTTGAGTGTTTAACCGCAACTATTTCTCTACATGAACTTGGCTACGTCAAATATTATAATATTGCTTATTGGAAAGAATTAATAAGTTATAGGCCTGAGCATAGTTCTCTTGCTCGAGCACCTCAAAATGTCAGGTAATTTGATTGGCCAGAAAATATTAATTGGCATTAAATAAGTTCTTTGTATGTTTGCATGGCGATAAAATGGGAATTAGAAATTTGTGGAAACACCACGTAAATTTATTACTGCAAAGCTATTACTGCACGTAAATTTATGACTGGCATTAAATGTTTCAAACGAAGAGATATCTGAACACTGCTTACTTCTAATACTTAATTGCATGAACTGTTTGTGCGAGTGTAGGTAGTGGCAATAATATTCACAAGCTTTTGTTGGTAGGATGCATGCAACTACCTGAAAAATATAAGGAGAATTTCGACATTTCGAGCTGGAGTTACTTATATTATTCAGGTAGTTGCATCCCGACCAACGAAAGCTTGTGAATACTTCTAACACTGGCTATCGCTACAAGCCTTCCCAACACAAAATAAAGTGTTCTGTGTTTGTGCAATATATTTTACAGCACATGCGATCTATAAATAGCATTCAGTGAAATTAACAGTTGTTTGATTTCAGTTGTAGATGGGACTTTCTTGACAATTCCTCTTTAGAAAAAATTCTATCTACATTTAGTTCTCTCGAACGAGATGCCCAAACACTTTGATATTTATTTCATTTGACGTTTATTACTACATATACATATATTCTTGTTTAGAGTGGAAAGTCTACGTACCTAAAACAGATAGCATTACTTCAAATCATGGCCCAGATTGGTTCTTTTGTTCCCGCAGAATATGCATCTTTCAGAATAACTCGACAGATTTTCACCAGAATTGGCAGTGATGATGACATTGAAACTAATTCATCCACTTTCATGTTAGAAGTCAGTACCACACTTTCTAATTTATTATTATTGTTATTATTTCCTGAGGTACTTTTATTTACCGTACATACAGTACATAATATGTTTCGCGATAATAATGTTCTAAATGTAATATTTTGAATATTTGCCCACTTTATAGTTTCTTTCCACAGTTATAATTAATTCTACTTAAATTAATATTGACTAGTCTTATTTCATTTTTTTTATTTACAGATGAAAGAAATTAATTACATCCTGCAGGTATGCAGATGTTGGTCCTGAATGCCTGCGTGGCTGCATGGCGGTTTTAAGGGGTTGGGCAGCGAAAATTAGGGAAGCGTGCCCTCGCCTCAAACCCATCCGCAACTACGCAGGCCATGAGGCATCAATGTGGCTTGCTATGAGGCATCAAGTTCACAAGTTGTATGTGAGGCACCTGCATGACCCTTTTTAAGAATACCCTGTAGCCGTGCAGCTTTATCTCCAACTTATGTATGCCTATTAATTAAGCTACTGTATACTAGGTTGTCGTGATCCAATTGTCGATTTTTGTATAGTTTTAGTTCAAATATTAACACTTATTCTATAGTTTAGCATAAACATTCTATTCTTATTGGTTACACAAACTCGTGATAATTTGAATAACTAATATTTTTCCAGAACGTGACAAATGATTCTCTCATTATTATTGATGAACTGGGAAGAGGTATATTACTGGTACATTGGAAGTTATTACTTCGGGTCCAAGCTGGCGAATAATATTTCATGCATGGTTACTTCTGGTTCTAGCAAAAGTTATATTAATTTTGTAACCCAATTCGCATTGGTGGAACTCAGCAAAATTTTCAGCCTCGTCCGGGCTTGCAGATCTTACACAAAATTGCCAGCTTTTTCACCGCATGTCCGCTAGAATACGAACCTGCTGTACTAGGAGAAAGAGTGCTGACCAGCGTGATTTACTTGCTTGTATCTTATTATTGGATTCTTTTGAGCCCAATATGGCAAATTATGAGCTGTACAGACTTCAATATTGGGCGAGACCGAAAATCGAGCCTAATGTTGAAGTCGAAACCTAAAATTTTGCCATATTGGACGAAGACGAATCCAATAAGAGTTTTATTATATGGAACGAAACAAGTCTATATTAAAAATTTGTCAATAAGCGATAAAGTAATACAGCGAGAATAATACAGCGATAACATTTATACTATACATATATCGGAGGCGAATTTGCTTAAAACTAAACAAAAAGTTAATTAACTTGTTTTTACAAATATATATGTGCATAAATAAACTCATTTCCATGTATGTTTAAAGGAAATTTGACCTAATTTTAACGAAAAAAATAATATTACTTACCTCGAGGCTGTTGCAAACAAATGAATTTCGCGAAGACAAGTTTTCCCGCGCTTTTATAATTTTGAACAAAACTGTTAGAAAAAACTGTATTAATGTCCCAAATTCTTTTCATTACTCTGCCATATCGCTTGTCGTATGTTTGAAATCAGGAAAACATCTGAAAATGGTTGAAAAACCATGAAAAAAGCCACGATTTGCAACTGTCCAATATGTTCCTGTCCAATATCGTAAAATATTGGATCGCATGATTGCACGTGACCCTCTCAACGATTGCCGATTGGCTAAGTGCGCGTGAGTGTATAATAATCTCTTTTATCATGGTTTGTTGTTATAAGCTTAGTTTCACAATGTATGGTAATTTTTAGAATACTTTTTGCATCCGAGACACCTGGATACATCAGAAAAAGTATTTGGCAGAATTTCGGGCGAACTCGTGCATGCAAGACTTGAAAATTGCCAAGATATACTGCCTAAGGGCCTGAAAGGTCGAAGTTTACTTGTATTTTTCAGGTACTTGGATCCTTCTCAATCAGCATGCAGCTTTCTTTCTTTGCCAATACAAATCCATGTAATGGAAATCAAATTGTGATTATAAAGAACTGCTGGGTGGAAGTATACACGTGTATCCAGCATCTGAGTCATTAGTGACAATTTTTTGCAGTGGTAAACACTTCAGAAGAGCTTCCTGTACAATAAACTACTTATTCAACTACAAATTCCCATCTTAAGAATATTACTTCAAGAATTTAACAATTTTATTGAAAAAAAGATGATACCTCATTCCTTCTTCGACCATAGACCATACTGATAGGTGTAAATTTATCGACATCAGATAATCAAGAAATTGATATAATCATATAACTGTCATATACCGGGTGTATAAAAAAACGCAACCTTGGAATTTCCTAAGAAATCCACTTTGCAATTCTTAAGCATAAAAGATTTTAGGCCCCTGGGTATTGAAATCGAATTGCTAATAGATCATAGTACTGTTGTTGTACTGTACTTGCAAAATAAAAACTTATTGAGTGTCATTTCCACAAACAAAACTATTAAAATGCATAAATTTTTGTTTATGTACTCGTGTGTGCAGTAATGTTGACAGTTGTGCTATTTTAAATTCCCAGGCACCTAAAATCTTTTGTCCTTAAAACAATGTCGATTTCTTGGGAAATTCCGAGGTTGCGTTTTTTATCCACCCTGTACAAGGGGGTAAAATATTAAGACGTTTTAACCATTCGAAGTATGTAAGTTGTCCGCGTTTCTTCGTCGATCCTTTTATCAACGTACTAAAATTACATTGGTTGGAGACCACACTTGTGTACGGTAACCACACTTATGTGTTTCCATTCCACAACCACTGATGAAGAATGCATGGTATTTTTGCGTAATGCTATCCCGCGCTTTATTGTTGGCGTAAAAATGTAATCTATCATTCAAAATTGTTATAATCCTAAATTTTATGCTCTAAATTCATTACATTAAGGAACGAGCAGCGAGGAAGGTCTTGCAATCTGCTACTCAATATGCGAACACCTGGTTACCAAAAAGGTAAAATTACGACTGAGAACTAAACCGACGTAAATTACTAAGTCTACGTAATGTTAGTGGTCTAGAACAAAGGAATTTTGATTATAATCTTGTAGTTATAATGGTTGATTTGGTGGTGAAAATATTTTATGACTCTAGTTTCTATTCCATATTTTATGAGATCCTTTCTCATGGCATACAACATAGAGTATTTGATCACTTATTTAATTTTCTAGGCATTCACATTCTTTGCAACGCATTTCTTGGAGTTGACTACAATGGATGGCTTGTATCCGAATATTGAAAAGTAAAGTATAATTTACTTGCTGTAATACTTCATTATTATTATCTCAATTAATTTAATTATTGTAGGTCTATTTGTTCGTATCTGACGTTAATCGTTTTTCTTTAGTTATCATATGGAAATTCAGGTATTCAACACATAATGTATTTATGATTACTACTTTTTATTTATATACTGATTAGACAGCATTTTGTGTTCTTAGATTTATTTTTATGTACATTAATGTGCGTAATATACTAGTATTTCACAATGTAGGTTCGAGTGTTGAGGTTGTCCTTAAGTTTGATGTACATTATAAATACTGTATTAAGGACAACTTATAGCAGCGGTTTTGTCGCTCACTTCGGTTTTCAACCTTTTGAATCTATATCGAATGTATGTTTGACTATATTGTATTGAGATGCTAATAAGTTGGACCAGAACGGATATTAATTATATCCAGAACGGATATAATTGGGTCGTCGCAACCCATCCTTTTTCACATAATTTAAGGTTTAAGATGGGTATTTTTGTCATTGTAGAGAGTTTTTAATGAAGATGGTCAAGGTGAAAAAATATCATACAGTCACACTTTGAGCAAAGGAAGTACCAGTGAAAAACATTACGGTAAATAAAGCTTAGTCAGTAAGAAAAATCTTGCAAATCATGAATATCATTGCATGTGTTTCAGACAATATTAGAGAGGTTCAGATTTTGACTTCCTCTGCCGCTACCTTTGCATTGACCAATCAGATGCATTTATTCTACCCGATTGACCAAATGCGCATTAAACCTGAGAAGTAGCGGTAGTGGAAATCAAATCTGAACCTCTCCGCTACCTTAGAGAGGGATAAGTTCAAACATCATCCGTGATGTGCGCATCTTCTTTCTCCGAAAATGTTCTAGATTTTCCGGATTGAAAATTTTTCGGAACATTTCTGTCCTATTAAAAACGGTAAAACCTTAAAATAAAACAAAGGACTACTGCAAGTCTGCAACATTAATCATGATTTCGTCCTTTAGTCCTGTTTTATACGTCGAATTTTGGTCGCGTCGAACGCATGCAATTTAAAAAATAGATAATGAAGCTTATAATGAGGTTTATCATCTCATTATATATTGTTTGAATTGCATTCGACGCGACCAAAATCGACACGACAAGTCTTTATAGTTTGCTTGGCAGAAATAATTTTCTATATCTGTTTTGAGAGGTAGATAAGCTAGGCGCTAAGGTATTAGTCAACCGATGAACGGTTTATCATGTTAAAAGAGGCACATGCAGTCAGTGGTATATGGACTGTGAGCTCATTATCCTCACTGTTCTGCAATGGCGTCCTTAAATGTTGTGCATGCATATACCCAATTATAAATCTAAAATCGGCCGTCTAAAACCATAGGTTGTGCGCCGCTCTTTATGTTAATTTTAAATTTTAACTTTAGTAAGAGTTCATCTTTTCACCACCTGTAATATTCTATTCTTATTTCTTTCTAGGAATAGAGTTGGGTAAACTGTCCGCTTTACCTGCCGAGCTATTACACGAAGCTGAGGTATTGTCAAAGAATCTTACAGAGCGGGAAAAGGTATAATGATTCAAGTATCACATTATACTACATCATGATTACCATGGTAATTGCGTTTACCAATTCGGACGTAGCGGTAGTCAATCACGAATGTTTTCATCCCTGTACAGGTAGATTTAATTGATGTGAAAGTAGCCAAGTTGTTAACTAGAATGTATAGGTCACTATCCACCTGACAGTGATCTTTTGAACCTTTCTGAAAATACCCAAAAAGCTGCGAAACCAAGGAAATGGGACTTGCAATTATAAGAAGAAACTTTAATTTATAAATACTCAAGTTTAATCTGGGTTACACGAATCAACGGCCAATTTAGAAAGCTTGAAAAAATCGATCGCTATGGACATTTCATTGGGAAAAAGCTCATTACAAACCTTCATCCTATCTTCTGTTCAAATTTAACGATACCATGTGTTTTCTACGAAAGTATACCAGCTCACAACTTATAACAAATATTACATATACGGTAGAACAACGTAGTTTAAAATATATTTACAAACTATAGAAATACATGCATGCAACAAACGTCGCAAACGTTTTCCAAACATTGTCTCAACATGAAGTAGTATTCCTCATTACGCCAAATGATAATAATCCTTTGGTTTAGCTGTCATAAAACATTAAAACAAGTTAATTCAAAAATAAACTTTCATATACAATGGAAATGAGACCTGTACATGTTCATAGCCTTCATGTGAAAAAGACTGAACAACAAAGTCATACATAAACAGTAAAAACAAACTTACCCTATGTTTCGAGATTTTCCATACTTATCGTTTCTTTAATTAATTAAAATTTGGAAAAGGTGATTTGCAACTTATTGTGAAACAATTTCCAAGCCTTCTGTCATGCTTTTTAATCTTTGCTTCCTTCACTCCAGGCAAACTGCAATATTTTTGAGATCACTGATGATCACCCATGCACAGCCAAGCGCCCGCGCAATTATTGACGAACTTAAGGCTTTGCTAATGCTTCAGTTCCTATCTCCGGGTATAGCTATAGCCGAGCGGAATTCCACGCCACGGGTTTCGCTCTACGCGATAGGTTCATGGATCAGGGAATAATGCCGTGTTTGTTAATATATCTTTCAGTCTCAGTCGGAGTCCTCAATTGAAGCGAAAAAAGAAAGAGCAATATTTCGTCTGGGTACCAAACTTATCCAAGCTGCGAAGAACTCGTGTCTTGATGAGAATGGATTACAAGCTTATATGCAAGGTCTCAAGTCGCAATATTACAGAGATATAGAAGATATGGAGGAATAATTTTCTTGTGTTGAACTTTCTCATCGCCTGGATTCATCAAATATTATATAAATAGACTAAAGCTAACACGTTTCGGAACTTCAATGATCAATTCCTTAGTTAATAAAGGTTTTGAATAAAATATGTGAATGAATGACGTAGCAAGATCAGTTTCAGTACGCTTTGTTGCAGCTGTGAAACAGAACACTTGAACCAATTAATTTTCCGATCACCACCAACCAATACCGGAACAACTTTCGTGATTGGGTGAAACCCAAAAGCGAACACATTGTTCGTTCTATGGCAACATGCAACATTTAGCTTAAACCACAGTCTAACAATAAAGAAATTATGAAAATTTAGTTAATTACTCGCGAGTATAGGTTTCGACATGTATTTTTGGTGGATAGTGAGGCGTCGTCGATAGCCACGAAATAGAATATTAATGAGCTGACAATTTCTACCCAGATTATTCGTGAAGCTCCTGACAATTTTTAACCAAATTATCCATAAATAACCTATATGTTTTGAGAAAAATTTAAAAATTTCACTAAAAAACCAAAGCTGCTGTTTATTTTAACCAGAATATGTTTACATTCTTTTAAAACTGCTTTTCTACGGCAATGATGATTCAACGACAAGAATGATGAATTTGGGGATGTATTAATGCCAAATAAATCCTGTTAAGCGGTCAAGATGACATCTTATAGCACGACATTGCCGACAAAGACAGAAGTACAAAAACAGCGATGCACAGGAACAATTGTATGAAATATAAACTCGATATAAACTCGAAACGATCTGTGCCAACCTAGGTTGTGACAATAACACCACAGAGCTGCGGATTGAAAGGATTCAACTGAAAAATACGAGTAAAACGTCGACGTTCGAGCGAAAGGCCCTACGTCGTGAAAGAGCATTTATGCGAAGGGAAGCCTCATATATCGATCTTGTCTAATATCTAAGATAAGTACTTTTAAAGTAGGTTTAATAACTAAAGTGTAACAAATCCTTTTAGAAATGTAACTTGAGTTTTTCAGTTTGCCTCTGTGTAGACTCCCATTCAAGATTTTTAATAAATTGAAATAATTGTCCATGAGAAACGTCATATAGACGTTTCTCTGGAGACCACGCCTCCCCCCCGCTTAGAAAGGTCTCACATAGTTATATCCATATCTTGTTCTTATAGTACACATAAGATAATTTTCTACTATTTTTTACGGTGGGCTATTGGCGATTCTTCCGCGAGGAACATGTCATCTTCTGTTGACATGTTTTTTATTAATATATATGACGTGAAAATACACCATCCAATGTTTCTCAAAATAACTTTTTTGCATGAAATATTGACAATTTTAGCGCGTTTTTCTTGAAATTTGAGTGTTTTCAATGCAAGGAAGGCATAACAATATAAATCACTATAAATGTATACAACAGCTATGGTATTACTATACTAATTATTATTACTGTCGATGCAATAGAAGTGTTGATAAAATATTGCACCAATTCTTTTCCTCAAGTTGATCAATTCATTTGATAGAAAATTGATCAACTTCCTGTTACTTTTAAATGAGCCAATTAGATTTCGTTTCAGAACCGATTGACCAATAGGAAACGCACTGGAAGTAAAAAGAAATTTGAATTCGTATGAATTGATCAACTTGAGGAAATGAATTATGCAATATTTTATCAACACTTCCATTGTATCGACAGTAAAACAACTTTTAACACGGTAGCTAATCAACTAAATAAAATATTTACAAGGATGTCGTTGCTTTTCATTAGGCCGTGTACTTATACAGACATAAGATATTCCCACCCACCCTTCCCAAACCATCCAAAATATAATATTAGAAAGATATTCAAAGTTTATTATAATCACTCAAACCCGACCCAGATAAAATTATATGAAAATCATTCAGGAATTTTTACTTCTTTCATTCCAAACTTTAGCAGCAGCATAACCGAAAGTTCGTTCATTGAATTTGTTTTTGGCTTCGACAACATCAGAGAAAGATTACTTAAATTTTGACGTGTTCCAATGATCATTCATTTTGTTTTTTCACATTTCATTGGTGCTTGTACTTCGTTGTTCATTTCCGTTGTTGTTGCTCGATCCTTGAAATATTCGTCATCATCTGACTCTCTCACATTACCCTTTATTCGTTTAAAGAAGGATGCATTCCTTGTTACCGTATGTCTTCGATTTTTAGCTACTATGATCTTAGTTCCTTTCCGTTCAATTACTGTGTATGATTCTAGTTCGAATTTTGCTGTAAATTTGTTTCTCTTTCTTTGTTTAAGAGTCACTTTGCCCCCCACTTTTAGGCGTGATGATTGGTATTTCTTTTTTCATTTGCACAGTCTCTTCCTTTTGTTTTTGTTTTTGCATCGATCGTTTGCTATTTAAGAGAGGATGTCCACAAAAATCAAACATAAAGCGGCCAGACTGAAAAATCGATTTTGCTCAAATTTTGCCCAGATATACCTTATTATATCGGAAAATGCACTATATATTTTTTTAGGTCAAATGCTTTTTTAACTTTGAGAAAATGACGTTTTAACACGTCCACCCTAAATCGCCATTTTTTTCTGTGAAAATATGCGCTGATTTTACAGATAAATTTCACGACGACAACCGTTTCTAATCGATCTAAAACCCTAAAAATCTTGTTTTCGGTTATTCAAAGGACTGTGTACATGACTTACAGGAAATCTGAGTTACTTTTAGGAATAGAAATAATCGTAGTTTTGGAGCACACTATCTTACTTCATTTACGATACCCTCTTAACAAAATCGATTTTCACTATGGGATAAAGCTCCAAATCGATCATGCTTCTACTAGTTGGCTCTTTAATAAACAAGCTTTCAATTGACGTAAATACTTCTTTTGGCAAATGAATACGCGATAAACGACAGCGCGTTGAAATCTTCCGTTTTTGACGTCTTGCCAGTCAAACGCTGTTAATTTATACACCGTCGAAGCAAACAATTTAATCAAGTATTCTAAGTAAAAAACCTTTTGAGAAAAAACATATTCTTGAATGGGGACTTTTCGCTTTGCTAAGTTTAAAAGTGATCCAGCTGAAATCCCGGTATATTTGTAAAAAAATTATCAAACATCCAGTATTTTGAGACATTGTTGACAGTTGCATGATAACTTCAGATCATTATTCAACGTGATCTATGACCCGGCCGTTTGACTTTAGCGCTAACATATACAAATCGATGAGCTATTTAAGGATTATATTTGCTACTAAATTCCCCAAAAGAATTGGAACTACAACTGCTGTTTTCAGAGGTTTTGATCCATTTTGTCCATATTAATGTACCATTTTATTTATCGACTGATGTTTACAAATACGTAAGTTAAATAGTTAATTATTAAGCAGCTGTTAGCGTGCGTGTACATGTGAAATGAACGTTTATAATGTTTATCCCAGCCTAGACCCTGCCTCGTCCCTCGTCGCTTCAGTTGGGAATAGAGATCAGTGGAAAACAATGGGAGCGCGGTGCTTAATGGGAATGCGATAGAATCTGAAGCGACTCGGAAATCCCGCATCCAAGATGGCGTCCATTGTAAATTGTATTATTAAATGGCCGAGATAATGCAAATAGGGAGGATTTTTCAAGGTCGTTATGTATGGCGAGGAAACGTTAAAATATATTTCCTGTTTATTGAAGAAGGGTACGAAGGTATGTTCATTTACATTTACAGTTACATCAAAAATGTATCAATTGTCGCAATTTATTAATATATGTGCATATTTAAAAATATCGATCTTGTTTTGACTGTTGTAGAGTGTAGACATTGGCAAGTAGTTCTTGGTTCGACGTTTCTGGAGAAGGAACGTTATTTCCATATTTGGCCAAGATCCGAAAGAAGTTGCCAAAATATACGGAATGTTTCTTTTGCACTCTGTCAAACTAAAGACATACGCTGATCAAAATATTTCCCTGTCGAATCTCAGGTAAAATATTGTTAAATTAATTTCTATTAATCAATAATTTTATAGCCTTTGCACCATGTGCAAGTAGCGAGTAGTAGTTAAGGATGCCACCTTGAATATATTGTTAATTGTTTTCACCATTGTGTTTGCATAATTGCACCCCTTGCAAATAAGCAAATTTACCTATTAAATATTAAAATATAAGGAATTTTATTGTTTGCACCCCTT